GTGGGTAGTATACATGTTCAGTGATCCTCTGGAAACATGGCTGATCATTGTATTGATATCAGAGTTGTTAACTCTCTCAAAGTTCTTTATATTTACAGTGTTGTTATCTCGTATAAATTGTTCTGCTTTTCCTCACTTTTGTCTATATTAGTTCATACGAATTTTGCAAAGTTTTTTGAACCTTCATTTTTTATTTTTTCTTTCTTTGTTTCTTATAGCACAGTAGTATTCCATTATATCTATGTGCCATAATTTGTTCAGCTATTCCCCAGCTAATAGATACTTCCTTAATTTCCAGTTCTTTGTCACTGCCAAAAGAGCTGCTGTAAATATTTTTATTTCTTTTTTGCGCATAATTTCCAATTGCTTTCTAGATAATTGCACCAATTCACAGCTCCACCAGTGATACATAAGTGTGCCAGTTTTCCTGCAGCCTCTCCATTTGCCATTTTCCTTGTGTGTGTGTGTGTATGTGTATATGTGTGTTCCTTGCTAACTTGATGTATGGATGCTCCTCAGAGTTCCTTTATGTTGCTTTTTTCTGATTAGTGATTTGGAAATTTTTCCTGTGCTTGTTGATAGATTGGATTTCTTCCTTTGAAAACTGCCTCTTGATGTACTTTGACCATTTGTTAATTGCAGAATATCTCTTATAAATTTGTATCAGTGCCTTATATATCTTGGAAATGAGGCCTTTATGAGAGAAATTTACTGCAGTGGTATTTTTCTCTCTCCCAGTTATCTGCTTCCTTTATGATTTTAGCTGTGTTGATTCTGTTTATGCAAACTTCTTTTAATTTTATGTAATTAAAATTGTCTGTTTTATTTTCTGTGATAATTTCTGTTCCTTCTTTGATCATGACCTTTTCCTCTATCCATAGACCTCTGAGGTAATTTTTTTCTTTGTTCCTCTAATTTGTTTATGAAGTGACCTTTTATATCTAAACAATGAATACATTTGGAGTTTATCTTGGATTGTGGTGTAAGGTGTTGGTCTAAACTCCATTTTTTGGAGACTGCTTCTCAGTTTTCATAAAATTTTTTTTTGTCAGATTTTTTGAATCGTTACCTTGATAGGTAGATAATTTTTTCCCAGCTTGTTTTGTTTTTGAATTGTCTTTTAAAAAACTTTTGCAGCCATATGCTTATCCCATCAGTGTGTGGTGGGTTTGCATTATCAGTTGCTATGATCCTTGCATGTTTTGTGTTTAAATATTATGTGTAGACTTGTTTCTTTACAAGTAAAGTCAATCCTGGCATAAGAAGTTTCTAAAATGTGAATTTGTTCCAATGTCATCAATACTTTAGGGAGTATTTTGAGCATAACTTGAATTCTGAGGCTGCTTCAGCATGATTTCTTCCATGCGAAATTGTGATTGAACTAAAAAAAAACTGCACCACCTCACAATTATTCACAAGCTGCAACCCTTCTGAAGCTCAGTTCCATAAGCAAACTTCAAGGTAATGTGCCATATTGTGTATCTTCTGGTGCAGTGGAAACAGGAGGGTTGGTCCTTATCCCACCTCCTTCTGCCCTGGCCTCCAACCCCAAGCCAGAGGCCCTGGAAATCCCTGATTATTGAAGTAGTCATATATTTCTAGAATTGTGCTACCATTTTTATTAGTTCTTATCTTTTTAAAAAATGTGTCACTGATGAAGTTTTTGAGTCTTGTGCCTCTAATCCTGCAATTTTCCATAATATGTGTTTTTTGGGATCCCATGTAGGATCTCAGCACAACTGTCTGTATATAATATACATTGTAATGTCACCTTTATTTACAACCAGAGTAGATGTGATAATATTTAGCTCCATATTTTTCCTATGAGATTATTTCTAATAGGGGAGGTGAAAGCAGATTGCATACTATATTTCACAAAGATTATGGGAGAGACCATGGGACTGTAGTCAGTGGTGGCCACCAGTGGCACAGAGATAGCTATAGCTGAGTTTGAGGGAACTGCTTGTGTGAGCTGGAATCATTGTTTTTTTTTATATTATATTTAATTTAACCCTGGCAAACGAAGACAAAATTTTAATGAATTTGAACTCCTGCATTTGAAATATTTGCAAAAATAGGGTGATTGTTAGTTTTGATTCACGATTTATTGATCTCTAGATGAAGTTCTTGTAGTTAAAGGGAAAATTTAGATTAAAAAAAACTGGAGAAAGAATTGAACTATACTTTAAATGTGGGAAAAAATGAACTTTTTTTGTGGACAGTGATTTGATTTCATCCTTAAAAAAACCCCTCCTTAACCCTGCCATCTTCTCAAGATCTTGTACTGTATCTTTTTTCCTTCAGTCTCTCCAACATTTGTCATTTTCCTTTTTGTCATCTTTGCAAATCTGATGAATATCAGGTAGATTCTCAGTGTTGCTTTATGTTGCATGTCTCTAATTATTAGTGATTTGGAAATTTTTCCAAAAAAAATTCCCTCTCAGCTCCAAATTCTTAGAATTGTGTATGCTTGCTGATTTCACTTTATCACCACCCATTCTACTTCTTAGTACCTTCCAGTTTGCTTTGTGGCCCAGTACCTCACCAAATTTGCTTTCTCCAAGATTAGCAATTATTTCTTAATTGCCAAATCTAATGGGCTTCTTAATGCTCATAGTTTTGAACATTTCTCTGTAGCTTTAAACTCTGCTGGCCATCCCTTCACCTTGATCCTCTTTCTTCCTTTGTCTCCTATGACTTGCAAATCTATATATCTATCCCTAATTTCTGTCCTGAGCTTATCACACTTAATAGTGTGAAGCCTGTTATATAACTCCTCTAGAATTTTCCACTGGTATCTCAGGTTCAACATTTCGAAATGAACTTATTGTAGTGTATTGCTGCTTTAAACTTGCTCCATTTCAGTGAAGGGCCCTTCCCTTCTCCCCATCACCCAGATTCATAATCTTGGGAGTCATCCTTGCCTTTTTTCTATCTTCTGTATTCAGTAGGTTGCCCAGCCTTGTAGACTTTAACTCCACATCTCTTTATACTTTTTACCTTTTTCTAACTGACATAACCTCTACCATGGCTCAGGCCCTCATAACCTCTTGCCTAGAGTACTGTAGTAATCTTCCTGTTTTTTCTTCCTACTTCTATTCCATTTCCTCTCTAATGTTCTTTATTGCCACCTGAAATAGTTTTAGTAAGGTACAAGTCTGACCATGTCACTCCTTTGCTCAAAAACTCTCACTGGTTCCTTGTTGCCTCCCACATTAAATTCAAATGCCTCAGCTTATATTTAAGGTTTTCTACACTCTGTCTCCTGTCTGCCTTTCCAAGCTGCTTTCATGTTATTCCCTTTCATGAATTCCTTATTCAACCAAGTGGTACTACTGTCTGTTTACCACATTTATTGCTCTCTCTTGGTCTGTGCTCCCACAGCACACATTGCTCCCTGCAGTTTGTTATACTGTCCTGGAATTTACAGTATCTTCATCTTTGCCTTTCAGAATTCTTGTGTTCTGTCCAAGGTCAACTCTTATGTCTTCTTTGAAATCTACCTTAAGCCTCTTCTCTTTGTTGTTCATTTTATTTGCCTTCATTTTTCTTTTACTCTCCTTTTTTTGTGTGTATGTATGGTATGCTTGGGCTGAGTTTAAGTTTCTTGGGAAGAGACATTCTTTTATTTTTGTCTCTTATCCCCTAAGTCTAGCATTCTCATTGCCTTGATTTTAATAAATATTTGTTTAATTTACTAACACTGATTAAAGCCTCTAGAATTGTAGGAGAAACTATATTCACCCCACTTACTATTTATTATTCAGTCGTTTCATGTTTCAGTGAGTCATGTTTAACTCTTCATGACCCTATTTGGGGTTTTCTTGGCAAATAAAATGGAATGGTTTGCCATTTCATTCTTCAGGTCATTTTACAGATGAGGAAACTGAGGCAAACAGGGTTAAGTGCCCAGGGTCACACATTAAGTGCCTGAGGTCAGATCTGAATTCTGGAAGTCTTCCTAACTCTAGGCACAGCACTGTATCCACTTAGCCACCTAGCTGCCCTTACCATTTATTTGTTTATTTTTGTAATTGTAAAAACCAGTCAAGAGGCGAGTGTTATGGTAGAAAAAGTACTAAGAGAGACTTGGGTCTGCATTCTCTTATCTACACTACATACCAGCTGAATGACAATGGGCAAATCACCTAACTTCTCTGAACCTTCATTTAAGTGACTAACTTAAAAGGCAGTGAGATATGGTATGTAAGATACTTTGCAGACCTTCCCTTCCTCCCTCACCTCCCACCCCAAGATTTAATTTGTATTGAGAACTCTTGGTGAGGAAATTCCCTTTACCAATGCAGATCAGCACCTGCCCTACACAGTGTGAAAAATAGAGAATAATACATCAGTTAATTGGAAACAAACTAAATAGAACTCAAAATTTACATGAAAACATTTTTTTTTGCTGTAATACTTTTAGAAGAAGCAAGTAAGTTTTTAGAAGAAACATTTGGCTTCAGATTATAGCCTTATGTCTATCTTATAAAAGTATGCTGTTGGTCTTTAGGAGGAGTAGGAGAGGCTGTGAATGGTTATATGAATTGTTTGACCCCTACCTGAAAAAGTAAGTCAGAGCTCTTACTCTACTGACAGTGCACCTTTCCTAAGGATAGATCATTTGCTATAGATAATTTGTCTTTATTCATAGTACTTAGAGATCCTTCAGTAATATGAGTTTTTATATGATGGCCAAAGAGTAACACATGAACTGATATTAAAAATAAGTCTTATAAAATTGCAGGGTACATGCTTATGCTTAATAAATATTTCATTTGAATTATTCTTGCCGATGACATAAATTATGATTCTAAGGTATATTGAAAAATGACAAATCATTAATAGTTATGAGAATGGATCAGGTATCATATATTTTATTTTTTTTGTCTGAAATTATTGAACTTACATTTATTATGGGCTGAGATTTTTAACTGGAAAATTTGCAATCTAAATCAACTTGCTAATTTTTTAAAACCAGAGCTGTTTTTGTTTTCTAGGTGTTCACTGCACTCATGGTTTCAATAGAACTGGTTTCCTCATCTGTGCCTTCTTGGTTGAGAAGATGGATTGGAGGTAATTTTTCACATTCTAAAAGGGAAAGAGATGTTTAGTAATAGAGATACAAAATTTTTAATGATGTATTTTTATATTTATTTTGCCAAGGTCTTCAATTCTTGGTAAAATATGAATGAAACTGTTTTAGTTTCAGTTTTTAGGATATGTGATGTGGTATATTAATTAAAAATTTAGTTGAATGCTAATGTTTCTGATATGCTATGTGTTTCACTTGCTTTTAATACTTCAAAATATCTTTGATTTCATTAGTTTGGGCAGTGCAGAGGATAACCTGTCTATACTTGAATCATCTTTATGAATTGCTGTGACTGAAAAAATTAATCACCTTGTACTCATTCTTCTTGTGATTAACATCTCTGAACTTAATTAGGCTTGTCCTTAAAGGATAGACACTGTTGCCAGGCCTGTAAGTTAAAACCTAATTTGGTAGGAATTACCAGAATTTGAACTTCTCTCTAAAGTTCATCTTGAATTTGTGTATCTTTGAAGAACGTACATCATTAGCATTCTACTTTGAGGCATCAGAATACTTCATTGGAGATTTATTACCTAAACTTTTTTTAACTTCTCATAAAAATAGTGGAGGCAGATTCTTTTAGTATATTTTATAAATTTAAATTGATCTTGAAAGATTATAATCACTTCTTCATAACAATTGGATGTCATTTAATATAAGAATAATAATGATTGCTCACATTTGTATAGTATTTTATATTTATAAATTGTTTCCCCCACAACCATCCTGTTAGCTAGGTTGTACAAGTATTATTATGCCCATTTTATAGAAGAAGCTGAGTTTCAAAACTTGACACTGTCACACAGCTGTGAGTGGTAGATCTGCAATTTGCATGCAGGCATCTGACTGGCTCAGTGATCTTTCCATAATACCATGTTGCCTCTTTGTTGAAGCATTTAGAACTGAATGGAGGGGAGAATGCTAGGCCAGGAGTTATTTAACAAAAATTTATAGAATACCTACTGTGCTAGAGCTTGGCATAGTAAAATCTCAGTTAATTGTAATTCTTGGATAATTTGGTATCATCATAAATGAATTTTTCTGTTAAACTGAGAATTCACCTACTTCTTAAGCCTTTAGTTGCAGTACAGATACCTTTGATATATGACTGTTCAACTTACAAATGATCAGTGTACTCAGTCATTTGGACACGGGTTTTGAGTGGGTTAAGGAGGAAGTGAGAGAGTTTGGGTCCTTCACTTTAGAGATTAAGATATAATATTGATAATAAACAACACATGAAGATATGTTTTCCTATGCCATTATGCTCCCTTATTACTGGATTACTAGCCATCATTGTAGACCTAGGTGTAGCATTTGTGTATTACTCTTTGCTTTGCACGTATATATTTTCATAACATGTCAGTCACCTCTGCAAACAACTGCTTGTATATGGGGTTGATTCTAAGCAGAATTCAAGTAGGCAAAGGCTTTGTTGTCCACAGGTGCCTTCTGTTGCTTTCTCCCCTTTCCACATTTCCACTTCTCCTTAGAGGTGGAAATAAACTTACGGTTCTTTCTGCACTTGGTCCTTGATAGTGGATCAGTAGAGTTGGGGAGGATTGCATAAAGGAGAATTCCAGAGAGGAATGATAAGGCATAAGCAGATGTTTAGAAGGGGCATAATGGTAGAGGAGAAGAGAGTACATGTGTATGTATGTATAAATTTATAGAGAGAGGGTCAGAAAATATCTTATTTATTCAGGGTATATCCTTCTGCACATTGAAAGAGTGGTAAGACTTAAAGGATACTGTGGTCAAGGATGCCTTCAACTGTTTTCTGAGCTGTAGGAGAACATGTGGAACTTCAAGGTGTAGGAGGTAACATTGGCCAGTTCATATGAGCCTTAGAGAAAGTAAGGCATTGAATTCAGTGAATAGAAGAGCAGGATGTTTAGAATAAAAAAATCGATAATGATAGCTCTTATTTCCACAGTGCTTTATAGTTTATGGCATGATATTTTTCATAGTAATCCTGTGAAGTAGGCACTATTAAATTTTATTCATTGTTATTATAACATGGTATTATGGAAAGATCACTGAGCCAGTCTGGTGGCTTGCATGCAAGTTGTAGACCTCCCACTCATAGCTGTGTGACGGTGGCAAGTTTTGAAATAATGAATCATTATTCATTATTGTTATTATTTATTCATTATTGTTCATTTTAATCATTATTATAGCTCAATAGTCACTCAGGGGCACATAGCTAGTAACTGGGACCTGAACCTAAGCTTTTTGATTCCAAGTTGTTTTCAGAACTACTAACCTGATGGAAAACCTTTAATGTATTATTCATTGGAGTGCTTCATACTTGAGATCCTAGACAAGCTTAGTCATAGAATGAGAAATCTTTTTATGATCCCTGTCAGCTTTTGAGAAACCTAGAGAAAATTTCCTGTCTTCAGCATCTGCTTCCTGAAAAGACTCAAATTCAAGGAATCAGGGCACTGTGTAAACCACAGTGGAATGGGCTTTGATGTGAATATACCATTTAAGATACTTTGCTTGCATCCCTGGGCTCTGCTCTGCTCAGGTAGATGGGGTTCTTTTCTTTCCTCTTTCTACAGAATCAGTGGCTGAGTTGATATTATTTATTTATCACTTAGTTTAATTAGTTCAGACTTATGCTGGACAGGATTGCTAAAGTACTATTCCTAGAAACTGCTGGGGTAAGGGTCTCTGCTTCTGTACTTGCTGTAAGAGTAAGAGGAGTTAGCTAATTGCCACAAATGTGCTGATAGTGAGACTATATCAAGGAGTTTTAAACATTTTAAAAATGCCTTACCTACCAGGTTAAAATGATCTCCATACCCTTAAATTTGTTATGGAACTTTTTCCAGGATCTCTCTTTTTCACTTATCTTACCTCTTGTTGAAATTATTTTTGTTTATACATTTATTCTTCTTCCTCATTAGAGCAGTGCCTGTGTCATATCTTTGTATACCTAGAATTCTGAACAATGCCTTGTACTTAGATACGTAATAAAAGTATGTTATTGATAATACTAAATTATTGTTGCTAGAGAGAGATCATTTAGGAACAATTTGTAATTCAGTGAAGGGTTATTTTGAAGAAATAATTGATCTTGCCTTTTTTTCCCCCTTCTACTTCCTAAGTTTATTGAAATTTTAGGGAATCATTTCCCAGAAACAATTTGGTTTCATATTTTCTTTTAGTATTGAAGCAGCAGTTGCTACCTTTGCCCAAGCCAGACCACCAGGAATCTATAAGGGTGATTATTTGAAAGAACTTTTTCGACGTTATGGGGATGTAGAAGAAGCACCTCCCCCTCCTTTATTGCCAGAGTGGTGTTTTGAGGAAGAAGAAGAGGAAGATGAGGAAGAGGATGGAAAAAAAGAATCTGAGCCTGGATCAAGTACTTCCTTTGTCAAAAGGAGAAAAGAACGTTTAAAATTGGTAATGTTTTCTAGAAATATTTTGGTTACTTTTTGCTTTTTATTCCCTACAACTTTCTTAGGAGTTGAGAAAATGGTAAATTGATAGGTTTCTTTAAAACTAATGGTAAGTTCATAGAGAATCATTAGGCAGGTTGTAATTTCGCTTGTCTAGTCCTTGTTCTTTCTGCCTCATAGAATTTTGGAGAATATTGCTAGATAAACGAGTTTCCTAATTGAAAGCGGCCTTTACTGGAAGTAGGTAGCTTTGAAAGGGACTTTAGAAATCATCCAACCTCTTACCTTATTCAGAAATCTTTTGCAATGGGAGTGAATTTTAGTAGTGTTAATTCATTTTGACTTTTAATTCTTTGATTTAAAAAAAATCGATTCTTAGATATCTGGTGTAAAGTAATGTAATGTAATTTCATTAATCCTTTTCTGCATAGCCATAGTTAAATTTTTGTACTGGACTTGTGATTTTCTCAGTATAGAGAACTCCTAGAGAAGAAAGTCTCTCTCCACCAATGCATATTGATACCTGCTGTATAACTTAGTCATAGAGGGTTGTCTGGACCACTGAGAGGTTAAATGACCCAGGTCTTCTTGATTCCAAGGCCAGCTCTCTAATCTGTTGTATCTCTCTATCTCTCATAGACTAGGGAAAAATTTTGAGTTCTAAGGCAACACTTCCTTCAAGATTTTATTAATTAGATCCATGGAGAAAAGTGAACAATGATTTCTGTATATTCTCATTTTCTGTAGATGGTCTTTCTTCACTCCCTCTTGTAGTTTCTCCCTAATAACCTACAAATCTTCAGCATTAGCAGGAACTACCACCTAAGGAGAATCACATTAAGAAAGCAGTAATGAGACTGAAGGCAGCTAGATGGTTCAGTGGATAAGTGCTTCCCATTAAAAAGCACCCCAAAAAAGTAAGAAGTGCTACATTTCAGTGCTGTTGAGATGGGAAAATTGCTGATTATATTATTTATATATGTATATATTGTGTGTATATATATCTATATCTATATATACATGTTTTCTTGTTTATATTGATATAGTCAGGGTGGATTTTTAGAAATGTTAAAATGATAATGAAATTAATTAGTCGGGATGATAAAAGTGGGGGATCAGTTAGTGATAACTTGCTTACTAATGTAATAAGAATAGTTTTTATAGCCATACCAAATTGCTTTTTTGATTCTTTCCTGTTGTCTTTTTAGAAACATTATTCTAAGATCATTAACTTTAAATTTAGTTATAACTGGAAGCCTACTGAGAATTTAAAATGGTTTTGAGTTATAGTGATTTTATTAGTATAGGAGAATCCCATTTTAATATGGTTGTCTTTCCTTGGAATTACACATATGATTGACCGTCATATTTTCCCTAAAATAGGAATTGTAGTGTATACCTTAAAAGCATGACAAAAATGAGTAGTCTAAATTCCATGTTGTCCATATCCCTTGACAACAATATTGTAAAAGAGCTCCAGCGTGGTAAATATAAAAATAATTTTAGCAATGAAGATGTTTTTTTAAAAAAAAGTTATTACTGGTATTTTTTATGGGAATAAATGACTTTCTTTACTCTTTTACCTTTTGAAAAGGAATTTCTAAATCCTCTGCCAACCAGAATGCCTTTAATATATTAAGATGTCTACTAAAGTCTGTAATTCCATTATCCTAAGTTTATTTATACTTTAAAAAAAAATGATCTCTAATGGCAATATCCTAAAAATCCACGAGATGGAGATAGTGCCCAAGGAAAATATTATTAGCTTCCACTAATGTCTTAAAGAAATCTTTCATCATCCAGAGTAGTGTTAAGTTTTCTTTTTCATTGTTAAAAATGAGGAAAAGGTATCATTTTGAGAATGTGCTTAAAATCAAAAGATGATGCTTGTTCTTATCATTATGTACTTGGTAACAAATTATGACAATATTTGCTCATTTTTATGATGTAGTGGATTCTGTTCTTGATTTGCTGCGTTTGCATCATTTCAAACAAATCTATATTCTCCCAATTCCTTATTCTCTCAATGCAATAATATTCCATTGTATTAATATACCAGAGCTTGCTAATTTATTCTCCAGTTGATAGATGAGTACCTGTTGTGCTTTCAGTTTTTTGCTCCCGTAAAAGGTGCTTCTGTGTACATTTTTTATATTTGTGGAGCTCTTCTTTGTATTTGACCTTCTTGGGTATAGGATAGAGGAATTACTAGGTCAAAAGAAATGAATAGCGACTTTTCTCAAAGAATTCTGTTTTTTTTTTCTAGAATGGTTAGACAATTTGCTGTCAATATTTGATTTAATCTCAGTTAATGAGATTGTTTTTGCATGGCTCCTTTGACATTAACTGTTTCTGTCTTGTATTGTCATTATCAGCTTCCAGGATTTGAGGTGAAATATCAGAGTTTTAAAAATTTGCTTTTCTTTTATTATGAATAGCTTGGTTAGATTTTGATAATTTACAGTTTTCTTTTTTTGGAAAACTTCACATCCTTTGGATCAATTCTCTTTTTCTATCTTGAAAATCAGAGATATTTGATGCAAAGATTTTTTTCTCCTTACTCAGCAATTTATCATATTATGTACCTTCAATGATTTTGTTTGTACAAGGCTTTTAAATTATATATAATAGAAACATCTTATCCTTTATAAGTTCTCTTATTCCATGCTTCCTTAGGAAATTTCCTAGCCATAGTTGTGAAAGGTATTTCTTACTGTTCTCCATTCCGTAATTTAAAAAAAAAGAAAATGACCTTTTAGTTTTAGGTCGTGTATTCATTTAGAACTTATTGTTGTATGTAGTATAAGATGTTGGTCCAAGCCTAAATTCTGCAAAATACCTTCAATTTTCCTTGTAATTCTTGCAGAATTGGGAGGAAGTTCCTGTTTCTGGGTTTATAGAACTTATTAGAGTATTATGTTAAATTGTTGTAGGGTCTTGCTTATCTAATCTGTTTCTCTGACTAGGTATTATTATCCACCCTTTTTCCTATTAAGAGTATAAAGACCTGGTTTCAAATTCTGGTTTTGCTACTTACTATTAGTATGGCTGTAAACAAGTTGTTTGACTTCTCTAGGACTTAGTTCCTCAACCATAAAATGAAGGGATTGGTAGATGGCTTCTTAGATCCCTTCCAACTCTAAATCTATGATCCTGTGATCTTAAAATAAGGAAATTGGGGCTTTGTGAGGTTAAATAAGCAACCCAAGGTTACTCTCTGATTGTTTGAGGTAGAATTTGACCTCTGGTCTCATGATTACAAGATCTAATACTTCTACTGTGCCACACTTCCTCTCAAATATAATATAAAGTTCTATTATAATTTGGGTCCTACTCTTATTTTAGTGATATTTAGAATAGACACAAAAAGAGTGTTTCTAAAAAAATTAGATATTTCATTTTCAGATGGATTATTTATCCAGAAATTAAGTGTTGCATTTGGAGAGAACCAGTAATGTAAACATGTTTGTTCATTTTCCCAGCCTATTACTTGAGTTTTTAACTCTTTGTTAAGGTAGGTAGGGCTCTGCTTCCAGGGTGGAGGGTGCACTGTCCTAAGTTTCAGGGTGTTGTGTAGTTATTTTCAGAGATGCTTCTAGAAACCTGTAAGTTTTCAGTTCTTCCAAGCTGGTATGATCTAAGTTTACTACTCTCATGGTCTGTGAGTGACCACAAGCATTTTTTTCTGCCCTGGAACTGTGCGGAGTGTTCCCTCCACTGCTGCCACAAGCTTTGTTATGCTAGTGCTCCTCCTTGCCCCAGGACTGCCACCTAGGACTGGGACCCAGATACAAGTATGGGCAAAGCAACAGAGTCCTGCCTCAGTGCTAGCAAAGAGACCCCTGTAATTTCCTTTTGACCAGTTGTTCGATCCCCTTACTGTCTGTGGGCTGAGAGCTCCAGAAGCTGCTGCTGCTGATTCAGTTACTTCCAAGGCCTTCTCCTGGTTTTTTGGGGCTTTTCTGGCATGGCCTGTGCTGAACTGTGTTCCTATCTCACCCACGTCTGACAGACCTTTCTTGCTGACCTTTTAAGTTGTGTTTGGCATCTGTGGGCTGAGAAGTCTGCAAACTGCCGGTGCTGCCAGTGATTCGGTCCCCTGAGGCCTGCTCTGGGTTTGCTGGGGCCTGGTTTGCACTGGCTTGGCCTGCACTACACTGTGATCCTCTGTTAGCCAGGTGCAACAGACCTTTCCTGTTCCTCTTCCAGATTGTCTTAGGCTGGAAATTTGTTTCATTCTGTCTTTTTGTGGGTTTTGCTGCTCTAGAATTTGTTCAGAGTCATTTTATAAAGGTATTTGGAGGGGTTTGGGGGAAAGCTAGGGTGAGTCCCTGCGTTGACTCCCCTCGCCCCCTTGCCCCACCCCTCCAGGGTGTTAAGTCTTTCAAAGTTGTTTATCTTTATAGTATTGCTGTATAAATTGTTCTGGGTTGAGTTCACTTTGCTCTGAATCAGCTCATACAAGCCTTTTCAGGTTTCTCTGACTCCATCTATTAGTATTTCATTATATTCATATACTATAATTTCTTCAACCATTCTGCCAGTTGATGGAGTTTTTTACCTTAGTTTTTTGTTTTTTTGTCACCACAAAAATTGCTGATACAAATTTTTGTACATATGGCTCCTTTTCCTCTTTCTGGCACAGTTTGGTAACTTTTGGGGACTAGTTCCAAACTGCTTTCCTGAGTGGCTGTGCTAATTTAGAACTCTACCAACATTGCATCAATATATATTCTTTCTTGCAGTCCCTGCAACATCTGTCATTTTCCTTTTTTTCGTCTTTTCTGTTCTGTTGGTTGTGAGGTAGAGCCTCAGAGTTGTATTAATTTGCATTTCTTTATTAGTGCTTAGTACGATTTTTTCTTACAGTTGTTAATAGCTTGGATTTCTTTCTTGGCGAATTGCTTGTTCATATCTTTTGACATTTATTATTTGGGGAATAAAGGCCATTGCATCCTAACTCCTTTTTTTTGAACTTATCTTGTTTAAGTTTAGTGCATTATACTGTGTATAATCTTCGCTTCCTTATCAGATATACATTAAGAAGGCATGGCTATAGCCCAGCAAGATTCTTGTCAATTTTGCTTTAAGAGCTAGTTCTTTGTTATTGATTAGAATCAAGTCCCGAATAGCTGTGCCCCGTGTACGTTGATCCTCTGCAATATCAAAGTCAGTAGTATTCCCTGTTCTCTTTCTTTTCTTTCCTCTTTTTTTTTAAGTAGAGACTTATAGCAGCTGTTCAGAGAGTTGATGCCTCTTTCAGAACTATATCTTCTTTGCCAGATTTGTGTATTGTATTGGTAACTCAGATTTTTTTTACCTGGCTTGGTGGCTTGTAGCATATTTTTAACACTATATTCTATTTCTCCCTCCTTTGATCCCAGTCTAAATGCCCATCATCATATCTTTTCCCTTAGGTTTGTGGATTTTCAGATAGGTTAGTTTCTTGATGTATGTTACCTCTACCTCTTCTATTCCTTTGAGTTAGCTATGCCTTCCATTTCTTTATTTCAGTCATGATATTTATCATTTCACATTAAAATCTCTAGTTCAGTTAAGGATTTAAGCCTTTCTAGACACTTTATATAGTTCACTGGTTATTACCCATAATCTATGTGTTGTTGTAGATATATATGAACACATTGAATCATTTCTATCTCTTTTATTGCTCCTTGTGGATTACTGAGTATTTCTACTCCTGTTTTTCTTCTTTTATCATAGTTCTGATATATAGTTTAGTATTTGTGTCTGGACATTTTTTTCTTCATATTCCTTTTCTTTTTTTAGTTTAAAATACCCTCTTGATTAGATCAGTCAGTCCCCAAACAAATGTAATTTTTCTAGCCTTTGTTAGCTATACATAATCCTTGACCAAAAGCCCTTAATTTCTTTTCTCTTAGACTATAGTTCAAAAAGTCAAATTCTGGTGTTCAACACCATCTTTTTAGCCAGCTGTTCACTTCCAATGTCCTTCCCTTTAATTGGCATCAGTGAAGAGAATACCATCTGTGTTCCTAAATCCTACAGTTTCCTTCCCAGAACTTCATAGTTCTTTAGTGGTTCTTGCCAGATTTCTACTCATTTGTTCTTTCAAGAATCACCAGTAGTAGCTAGAAGTAGTCATCATGTTTGAAAAGTCTTGACTTTCTGTTATACCCTGCAAATAGACCTTCGAAACATAACAGGGAAAACTAAAAGGTAATTTCAATAGTGGCTCAAGAAAAGAAGCTAGATATGATACAAAACACATGAAATTTGATATTAAAAAATTAGGTAAATGAGGGAGGACCTGGTATCAACAAAGAAAGCCCTATCAGGAAAAATGCTACAAAATTAATTGGTAACAAAAGTCAACATTGACAGTTTGAAGGAAGGTTTGAATTAAGAAATGGAATAAGTTGGCAACATTCTGAAGCTGAAAGTCTGATCAGTAGAAGAAGCCAAAAAAAAAAAGTATCAAGGGGAAATTCATTTGAAAAATGCCTTGAAAAGTTCATAAGCAAAGACTAGAAGAAATAAATTAACAGACACTTATTAAGCACCTAACATGTGCCAAGCTGCTATGCTTAAGTGCTAGAGATACAAACACAAAAACAAGCTATTCTCTGCCCTCAAAGAGTTTACATTCTAATGGGTAAAACAACATACACATATATAGATACGTACAAGAAACACACGGAGTAGAAACCAGATAAACTTAGAGAGGGGAAAGTTGTAACAGTTGTTAGAGGTAGGGGAGGGTAGGTGGACCAGGAATGGCTTCATCTGGAAGACATAGGAGAGGTAATCTAATGATCTTTGAATTCCCTAAAAAATGAAAAGATCATTTCTAATCATTTTTCAGGAAATCACTTAAAATTTCTTGGAATTAGTAATATCAAAGGACTGTCTATAGATTGATAAAATTCACTGGGCACTCTTAGAGTTCAGCACACCCAGGTTCAATGTACCCAAAAGATTGTTATTAAATTTCAAAACTTCATTGATAATGAGATCTTAGAAGTGCCTAAGAAGAAAAAACATCACTTATCAAATGATAACTGATGTCCAATTTGGAATGCCCTGATTATTCACTGGTCAGGAGAAAATAGAGAAATAAACTAGGTATTTTTAAAGTTGGGGAAAGTATAGAAAAGTAGTGTAATGAAATACTAATTGTGCTACATAAGAAATGATGAAATTTAAAGAATTCAAAAAACTACATGAAGACACATGAAATAATAAAGAATGAAGAAAAGCAGAACCAAAAGAACAATATACACATTGACTACAACTAAGTGGTTAAAACGCATCAGTAACAGTAAAAAAAAACATTATATGAATACTAGAGGAACAAAAAAAGTTTAATGAAATCAAGAAAGATGTGAGTAAAAACTTATATACACATCTTTTGAGATAGTCTAAAAAATCAATAAATGTCAGAAGTTTATAAACCTAGTGTAATCATTTAAATTTTCTTTTTTTGGTTTTGTTTTATCTTTTATGTATATTTATTTTCTTAATTGTGTTTTTGTTTCAATATTTGAATATACATCAGTAACAATAAAAAAAATAGACATTATGAATACTAGAGAAACAAAAAAAGGATAATGAACTCAAGAAAGATGTGAGTTAAAACTTATATACACATCTTTTGAGATAGTCTAAAGAATCAGTAAATGTCAGAAGTTTATAAACCCCAGTGTAATCATTTAAAGTTTCTTTTTTTGGTTTTATTTTATCTTTCATGTGTATTTTCTTAATTGTGTTTTTAAATATTTAAATCTATATCAATAACAGTAAAAAATACACATTATATGAATACTGGAGGAACAAAAAAAAGGATAATGAAATACAGGAAAATGAATTAAGCCTTATATATACATCTTTTGAGATAATCTAAAGAATCAGTAAACACCAGAAGTTTATAAACTTCAGTGTAATCATTTAAAATTTCTTTTTTTGGTTTTATCTTTCATGTGTATTTATTTTCTTACTTTAAATATTTGAATATCTGTACATGTATAAGGAAATTATAATAAAATATATGTTAAAAAAAGTTGCAACTTCATCTTATTTGTCTAAGATACCAACATCAGTATGAAGGTATAAGGGAGAGGGCTTTTTTTTTTTTTTGCTATGGTACTCTTTTGATCTTTTCTCTCATGAACTCTCTGAAGTACACTTATTTTATTTTAGGCAAAGGAGTTGAGAAGGTCTAGTTTGTATAAACAGTGATTGAGAATTAGGGAGTGATGGCCAAAGCATGCAGAGAGGACTCCCTCTGTTAGCCTTTGGCGGGGAGGAATGTAGATAGTATTTATGAGTATATTTTCATCTCAGTTTCTTAATTTGCCAAAGCATTGATAATGATGTCAACATTGCAGAGAGGTTGATTATTGCTCTTATGAACTTCCATTTTTATTTAGATTACGTTTAAAGCTAGTTTTGTTTCATAGATTTTTTTTATTTTTACTAATGCCAGCTTGCTTATTGGATTACGGTAGCTTAACTGCAGCATAAACGTGGACTTTCCTTTCAATTTCTAGATTCCAGGAACATTCAGTATTTGTATGATATTAGAGGATTCTCTGTCTACTTTATTGTCATGACATGTCCAAGATACTCTTGGTATGGAATATATTAACATTTTATTCACATCTTAGTTGATAAACTGCTTTAAAATGTTCAGAGGACCAAAAGTCTAGTTCTGATTTCTCTGCTATTACATCAAGTGACCTTGGCTTTAACTGCTTAATGTGCCATTCATTGGCCCTGTTCCACTCTACAGATATGTATTATAGTGCTCCAAGAGTACTTTGAATACATCCAGGTCCTGATTATGGCCAAATAATCCACAGAAGTGACCACATTGTTTGAATTCAAATTAAATTATTTGATTTCAAACTACATATTTTCATTGGGCTGGAACCAGTTACTATATTTTACATAATCATAACTTTGAATAGTACAAAATCAAATACAAGTAGCCATTTCAAGGGGATTCATTCTTTCTACTAATTACCTAGCTGTACTTATAGAAAGGTACAAGACAAAAATAAGAATACACATCTTCTTTATAGTTCACATGTAAGAGTTAAAGGATATGAAAGTACAATTCTAAAGAAAAAAGTAGAACAATCCAGATCAGGTCCAGGGGAGTGGTCAAAATTTGGACAAAATTACCTATCAGTCTTTTTTTGTCTTATGAATCTATGTTTTAAATTTTAATAATTTTTTTTCTCTTTTAATTAAAGGGTGCCATTTTCTTGGAAGGTGTGACAGTTAAAGGTGTAACCCAAGTAACAACTCAACCAAAGTTAGGAGAGATACAGCAAAAGTGTCATCATTTCTGTGGCTGGGAAGGGTAATGGACATTTTAAAGTATTTTACCCCTCTTATTTCTGCAGTACTTATTAGTGGAAGTATTGGAATAATTTTTTTTTTACAATTGAAGTTTACATTTTTATTTAGAGCAATTAAAAATAAATTAAATGAGAATGTTATCATATTATTTGATATCCAAAGTTTGTCTCTAAGGCAAAATGAAAAGGATAACCTGACACCTAAAGCAAAATTTCATCACCCACAGGGCAAAATCAAAGACGTTAATTGTAGCTCAGTGCTTAGTACTAATAGTTTATTTCCTTTTCCAACCCTATTGTGTTGGTCAAGTGGAAGAGCCAGATTCATCAATTTCTTACATGGGAAGAGGGGAATTAATGGACATACATCCTTCTATATAGTCAGACATCTGTGATAGTCATCTTCAAGTATGTTCCAGCCACCCACCTTTAAAATTATTGTAGGTTTAAATTGATTACATCTGAAAAGGGAATCATTACCCGTTTTTGTATTTCACTGCTATCAGTGACATATGATTGTAGTAGTAATTGTTAATGGTGAAGTGGATTTGCTCTTTGTTAAAACTTAAGCACATGGTTCCTGAGTTTATTTTAAGAACTCTTGTCATTGCCTTGTAGAAGTCAAATAGATTAACTAAAAATACTTGTAACTAAAAAATGAAAATGGTAACAATAAATAGCATTGGTTCTCTTACTGTGTACAGTCTTGCTAGTGTGTACAGTCTTGCTAGTACTACCTTTATCTTCACTTTCAGTATTCCTGTTGCACTACTTCTGGGTATCTTTTGAATAGAGACTTTCAAAACCCGTTGATTTTGTCAGATTGTCTAAATGTGATTTAAACATATGGGGTCTGAATAAAATTCATTATTATTTCTAATGTAAGCCAGTATTTGAGTTTTTTTTAAGGTAGAAGACTCATAAACAAACCTGTTTTAATATTTAGTCCTCAAATATTAGTTGTTTATAATTACTCCTTTAATTTTGGAAACACCAGTTTGGAACTCTTGATAATTTGTACTCTAAAGTCCTAAATATGATAAATTCTTGTCATGTTATTCTTGTAGCATAGTTAAGACATTGAGAAGAAAAGGACTCATGCAAGGTTGATCTAAGAAATCCATTGTTTTGTACAGATAACCTGCCATGAAATAATAATAGTTTTCTCTTCTTGTAGATCTGGATTTCCTGGAGCACAGCCTGTTTCCATGGACAAGCAAAATATTAAATTGCTTGAGCAGAATCCATATAAAGTAAGCTGGAAAGCAGATGGTACTCGGTAAGTTTGCCTTCTAAAATAGTTTATACAAATCACCCTAATGCTCAAAGAAAATTATGTTGTTGTTTGGGAAAGTTTTCACTCTTGAGAGTGTGAATTTTTGCCTTTGTATACCAGAAACATATTTCAGGTCTCTTAAAAATATTTAATTTCTGTTGTGATAGTTTATTCTGGCATTATGCGATCATGCCTTCAAAATTTTTTGTTTGTAGTATTCATCAGTTTAGTATAATCCTACATGTTATGTTAATTTTGTTAATCTTCTGTATTTACTACACTTTTAATGTGTTTAAGACTTTCCATTTAATTTTAGATAATTTTTCACCATACCTAAAAGTTAAATAATTTCCTGTTAAGGTTAAGTTAACTTCAGTAGGTAATTACTGAGTATGAGTAAAGGTTAAGTCATGTGTTGTCAGTTTTATTATCCAAAAAATAATCACCTTTCTTGAATGGTGGCTCTTTTTTTCTTCCTTTTTACCTTTGCATACTGTACTTTTAATCCTTTGCAAGGTTGTATCTCCTCATATAAATATTCTCTGAGGAGTGTTATTTTGTCCTCACTGCTAAAAATTGGCTCCAATGGAACTTAATGCCTCTTCTTCTACTATTCTTTACACATTTTGCATTTTTTATATTGTTAATTTTTAGTCCATTTTTCTATGTGAATTAGAATTATTCTAATGATAGAGGGTGAAAAGATTTTCATTTTTAGGTATTGCATAACTTTTTCTCCTTGCTTCTCCTCTCCCCCTTCCCCCTCCCCCCAAATAAGAGAAAAGTTACCTTTAAAAATGTGGAGGGTATATTTTTTTTGTCTCCATGAGTGCTTATTTTGAATGATTGCATGGAGTGTTGCTATTTGATTCCTTATTTTGTTGCCATTTTATTTCTTTAAAATATTTTGAGTGTTTTAGTAGGTGATAAGTAAACACATCACTTATTATATAGTCTAGTTAACTTATGATAACTTTAGATGGTAGGTATGGAAAAATAGAGTGGGAGGATGTGGATTTTTCAGTTTGGCATCATAAAGATAAACATTTTATTTAAGTGTACCTTTCTGTCTCCTTTTAAGTGAGCTTTATTTTTGATCATGATAGATGATTTTTTTTATTCTAGGGCTTAATTAATTGAGCTCCTTTGGGGAAATGTTAAGTATAACTCTTTTCTTGCTACTCTTTTAGAATGGGTTTGTAAATTGTAAAAAGAAGCCACTTGCTTTTGCCCCCAGGTCCTTGACACATAGGTAGAAATAGGTAGTATCTGGAGTTAGGGATAGGATGGAAACATTCTGTTTCATTATTGTGAATTAATATAACCCCTCTGTGGGGCAAAATTGAAGAAGATGAGGGGGAGGAGAGGAAGCAAAATGCACTTATGAGTAAAATAGATGTTTGTGTGAAAGATTTGGTGGTTTTAGGCTGTTACTCTGTGTGTATCCCTTTGCTTGAAATGTATTTCTTGTAAGCAACATATTGTAGGATTATGGTTCTTAATCCACTCTGCTATCCCTTTCTGTTTTATGGGAGAGTTCATCCCATTCACATTCACAGTTATGATTTCTATCTGTGTTTTTCTCTCTGTCGTATCTCCCCCACCATTTATGCTTTTCTCTCTCTTTTCTCCCTTTCCTTCCTCGGTAGAGTTTTGCTTTTGACCACTGCCTTCCCTCAATCTGCACTCCCTTCTATTAGCCCCCTCCCTTTTCTTCCTCTTTACCCTTTCTACTTCTTCCCTCCCTTCAATTCACCCTCTTCCCTTTCTTTTCCTCTTCACCTCCTACTTTCTATAGGGTAAGTTAGATTTCTATACCTAACTGATTATGTTGTTCCCTCTTTGAACCAAATCTGATGAGAGTAAGGTTCAGACAATGTTCATCTATCTCCCTTCTTTCCCTCTACTGTATTAGATGTTTGTGCCTTTTCATGTGATGTAATTTATCCTTGTCTGCCTTCCTTTCCTCTTCTCTCGGTACAGTCCCTTTTCATCACTTAGATTTTTTACCATCACATCAAAGTCAACTTAAACCCATGCCCTCTAAGTATACCTCCTTTTTTTTTTTTAAATATGAGGCAGTTGGGGTAAGTGACTTGCCCAGTCACACAGCTAGTTAGTGTTATGTGTCTGAGGCTGGATTTGAACTCAGGTCTTCCTGACTCCGGGATTGGCACTTTATCTACTGCACCACCTGGCTGCTGCAAGTATACCTCCTTTTAAATGTCGTAATATCATTACAGTTCTTAAGAGTTACGAGTGTCATCTTCCCTTGTAGGGATGTAAACAGTTTGCCCTTATTAATAATGTTTTTTTTCCTTTCTGTTTACCTTTTTATGCCTCTCTTGAGTCTTGTATTTGAAGGTCAAATTTTCTGTTGAGCTCTGGTCTTTTCATCAGGAAGGTTTGGAAGTCCCCTATTTTGTTGAATTTCCATCTCCTCCTGTGAAAGATTATGCTTAGTTTCACTGGGTAGTTGATCCTTGGTTGTAATCCAAGCTCCTTTGCCTTACGGGATATGGTATTCCATACCCTCCAATCGATCTTTTAATATAGAAGCTGTAAGATCCTGTGTAATCCTGACTGTGGTTCCATGATATTTAAAATGTTTCCTTCTGGCTGTTTGTAGTATTTTCTTTTTGATATGGTAATTTTAGAATTTGGCTACAATATTCCTTGACATTTTCAATTTGGGACCTCTTTCAGGAAGTGATCAATGGATTTTTTTGATGGCTAGAACCCTCTGGTTCTAGGACCTCAGGGGAGTTTTCTTTGATGATTTCCTGAAGGATGTTGTCTAGGTTCTTTTTTTCATCATGGTTTTCAAGTAGACCAGTAATTTTTAAATTGTCTCTCCTGGATATGTTTTCCATGTCAGTTGTATTACCAATGAGGTATTTTACATTTTCTTCTATTTTTTTATTCTTTTGTTTCTGTTTGACTGATTCTTGTTCTCTCATAGAGTCATTAGCTTCCACTTGTCCCATCTAATTTTTAATGAGTTGTTTTCTTCTATTAGATTTTGTACCTCCTTTTCTGTTTGGCCCATTTTACTTTTTAAGGAGTTCTCTTCAGTGAGTTTTTGTGCCTCCTTTTCTATTTGGCCAATTCTACTTTTTAAGGATTTGTTTTTTACAGTTAATTTTTTTCCTTCCTTTTCCAAGCTATTGACCCTCTCGAATACCTTTCATTTCTTTTCCCAGTTTTTCTTCTACCTCTCTTATTTGACTTTTAAAATCCTTCTTGCGCTCTTCCAAGAAGGCTTTTTGGGCTTGAGACCAGTTCATATTCCCCTTTGAGGTTTCTGTTGTGGGTATATTGACAATATTGGCCTCTTCTGAATTTGTGCCTTGATTTTCCCTTTCCCCAAAATAAGAATCTATAGTCATTTTCTGTTTTTGCTTTTTGTTCATGGTGTTCATCTATTTCCTGACTTTAAAAAAAAATGTTGAGTTCTCCTGCTAGAGCAAAGGGGACACTTGCCCAAGCTTCTTTTCCTGTTTTCCGGGGCCTTGCACTTGAATGTTTGGCTCCTGTTCGTCCAGGCCTTGCACAAGGATGTTTCGATGCTGGTAGATGTCTGTCTCAGCCTGGAGCTTTGCTTTCTGGAGTTATGCTGAAGGTACAGGGTGATTTTGCTGTTGGAGAGCGCCATAGCCCCTGGTGGTTTTCTGAGCTGGTGTCTACTGGTTCCCCTGCCTATATTGAGGCTCTCAGGGGGTCCTGGTGTTGGCATTTGCCTATCAGCTTGGGTCGTAGGATTTCCCCCTGGTATGCTGAAGTAGGACTTGCCATTGGTTTGCTGAGATGCCTCCAGTCCTGTACTGCTTCCCCTCCCCCAGAGCTAGAGGGGGCTTTCCTGTTAATCCCCCAAGCTTCCTGGGCTACAAGACTGCAGCTCTGTTATTTTGCTGGCTTAAGGTTTTTCCTGGGTTTTCAGAGGTCAATAAGGGAGGATGAGAGCAACTTACTTCTTACTCCACCACTTGGCTCCTGGAAGCAGAATGGCCTTGGCCTTTTTAAGCTAAGGTCTATCTCAGGTCTCATTGACCGAAGCAAAACCCATTCAGTGATTAAGGGTAGGTCTATACAGGGTAATTGGAGGCAATCAACAGAGCTAAGGCACTAGAATTCAGGGAGCTTAGGAATGGCTTTCTGTAGAAGGTAACATTTTAGCTGGAACATAAAGGAAGTTAGGGAAGCAAGGAGGAAGAAAGGAGGAGAAGACAATTCCAGGATGGAAAACAGCCAGTGAAAATGCCTAGAGTTGGGAGATGGAGTATTTGTAGAATAATAAGGATGCTCAGTGTCAGTGAATTGGAAGATTATGTGATGGGAGGTGTGTGAAGAAGACTGAAAAGGTAGGAGAGCTTTGTATATTAAACAGGATTTTATATTTGATCTTTCAGATAATAGGGAAGCAGTGGAGTTTATTGAATGGGAGAGGGTCTTATGGTCAGATCTGCACTTTAGGATGATCAGCTGAGCAGAAGATGGCCTGGAATGGGGAGCGACTTGTGGCAGGGAAACCAATTAGAAGACTGTTAACAGTATTCCATGTGAGGGGTGGTCAGGATGGTGACTATATGAATGTAGAGAAGAGGACATAGAAGAGATATTGTGAAGGTAGAAATGATGAGATTTGACTGCTGATTGGTGTGTGTAGTGAGACATCTTGGGGAGTCTAGAATGTCATGAGCTTGGGGGACTGGGCATATGGTGATACTCTTGACAGTAATAGGAAAGTTAGGAGGAGGGGAGGATTTAGGCAGAAAGAGGATGAGTTCAATTTTGGACATGTTGAATTCCAAATTTCTACAGGATGTGAAGTTCAAGATGTTTAATAGGCAGTTGGAGATAGAAGAATGGAAGTCAGCAGAGAGCTTAGGGATGGATAAGTAGATTTGAGAATCGTCAAGTATAGAGATGGTCCATGGGAGCTGGTGACATTACCAATTAAAATAGTATAGAGGGAAAAGAGAAGAGGACCCAGGACAGAGCCC